AGAAGAAGAAGAAGAAGAAGAAGAAGAAGAAGGGGTGAATGATGAGGGAGAGAAGAAGAAGAACACGAATTAGGGTTAAGTTGTTGCCACAGCACTTGAATGAGGAGGAGGAAGAAGAAGAAGAAGAAGCTGCCTTTCTCTCACTGCTTCTGTCGTGCTGTCACAGACACGCAATCTGGCTGGACAAGGCTGAAAGCTGGAGCCTTTCTTGAATGGTGGAGCTCCCTCTCTCTCTCTCTTTGCAAGTTTCTTCCTTGCACCTCATCACCCCCACGCTGCACGTGTAACCCTCCCAAGCACAGCAGCCCACAGTCACGGCTGCCCACCACAACGGCTGCCCACAATGCACCGCGAGAGACTGAGGAAAACGTAGTGTGGAAATGTCCTTAAAGCCTGGCCGACCGTGGGACTGTCGATGCCTACAGGTCGGCGGCATCCCAAGCCGCGCGGCGAGCGACCGACCACCCCCCGACCGGCCCAGACCCCAAAAACGGAGCCTTTGCAGCTCAGGCCGCCACCGCGGAAAAGTGCGGCACCCCAACTGCAGCCGACATGTCGGCGCCGACCGACCGACCGGTCGGCGGGTCGGCGGCCGACGGATCGGGGGGCGCCGACGGTCGGCGAGTGCAACACTGTCGTGTAGTGAGTAGAAGTCCCCTGGATACAAGTTAACCCGGTGGGTTTACGTGTTGAGGCGTGGAATCGTTGTTGATTGTGCACTGTCACCATGGTGAACACCAGGTCCGGAGCTAGCACCACCCCCTACAGCAAGGAGCAAGAAGAGAGAGCTGCCTCCCTTCTGCGAGAGAGGAAGGAGAGGATGAAGAAGAGGGAATTGATCAAGCAGGCCAAGATGTTGGCCTTGCTAGAAGAGCAGGAAGCGAAGAAAAAGCAAATGGAGGAAGAGCTGCAGAAGTGGACAAAGGAGCAAGAGGAGAAGATGGCGGCTATACAAGCGGAGGTGGAGAAAGAAGAAGAAGAAGAGGTAGAAGAAGAAGTGCCATTGGAAAGAAGAAGAGGTGAAGCCAGCACGCGTAAGGAGGAGGAGATTGAGAAGATAACACAAGAATGGGCCGCACACTTGGAGTAGGGGGAAGACAGGGAGGCAGAGTTTGTGATACCCCAAGCAAAGAGAGAAGCGGCAAGAAGGGAATTGGAGGTAAAAAGGGATCTTGTAAGGAGAAGAGCAAAAGAGGAGGAACAACAGAAATCATGGAGGTGGCGATTGTCCCAAGAGAAAGTTAGGCGTCTGGAGGCGGCAGAGAAAGCAGAAAGGGACCTAAAGGCGACAGAGGCCAGGATGGGGAAGATCAAGGCTGAGACCAAATTAACTACCAAAGTCGAGACTCTGACTCGGAATGTAGAATCCCTACTAATTGCACATCGCGAGCAGATGTAGTACATCCACAGTCAAGATACAAAGATAGATGCGATACGGGTTGGATTTAAAGACTTTGCACGCTATATGATGAAGTACTTGGTGGACCTGTGTGGGGCCGCCGCAACCCAGTCGGCCACCCGAAATACGATGGATTGGGCTTCGGGATAAGTGCCTATGGGAGAATCAGTCGGCACTTTCATTAGAGTCGTCAGGAGAAATTAGGGGTCGGAAGAGGATCCCTAAACCCCCCCCCATCAATTAGTGAAACTAACCGTTGAAATCGACATGATGAACGGCCGTGCCTGCCGCGCCTAACTTCCACTATTTTTTGTCCGTTCCGAGGTTGTTCCCGAAGCGACCGGCCGCGGTACGGAGCCATTGTACTAGGCCTCGACTCGTTGCTTTCACACTGAGCGATTGACAAGGGAATGACTCTTCAGATTTTGTTAATTCTAACCACAAAATTTAAAACTGAGAAAAAAGAATTAAAAATAATAAAAGGGGAGAAAAAAAATAAAAAATTGTTAATTAATTAATTTTCTTCAGAATTCACTTACGGCGAAATTGTCCTCATTTTTCGTCAATTTTAATAACAACATTAAAAATGAGAAAAAGAAGATAAATAGTAAAAGGGATGAAAACAAATGATTATTTATTGTTTGATTAATTTTTGACCGGATTCATGCTTGATGGGGTTTTGTTAAAAATCATTTATTTACCTACTGACCGCCGATCCGTATGAGTTCCTTTGACTTTCCCGATTGACCTGATTACTACCACCACGATGGTCGAGTGTTATTGAGTGAGTGGGACCAATGTTGGGTCACGGTGACATGGTTGCTACGGTGCGGCAACATGTTCTACTTTGGTAAGGGTATGGCCGCCCTGGTTTGGTGCAGGTTTCCTACTGCGACGGCATGCTGCAGCATATTCTGGTTCTTTTCGAGGTTCGGGATTGATACGGTACGTTCATCGGTTCATCTGCGGTATCGTGTCATATTTTTGTATTGGTTCGGTATGGGTATCTGTCTGGTATTGGCTTGGTGCATCTGCGGCACGGTACGACACTCAATATTAATCTGGTGCAGTGGCTGAATTGGAACCGGTACGGATACTGGCTTGGTACTGGGCCAGTCCTCTGCAGTACAGTACGTTCAAGCCTGGTACGGTACTAGTATGGCACGAGTGCGGCACACGGCGTACTGTGACCGCCTTGAACCAGATGTACTGGTTGGTTCGGTATCAAGTATTGGGCTCACATTTTGGAAAAGGGGTGGGCCTGAGACTTATGCCCTATTTGTGGGCCTGATGCCGCAAGTACTGGGTGCCGACCCTTGGCTACGGGCGAGTGCCAAACTGTTGTTTTCTTTGGATGAACACTGCGGCCACGAGGAAAAAACATGATCGAGAGTGCAGGTACCGAGGAGATTCGGAGGGAGGGCGAACGGAAGCGTGTCCGGCGTCCATAGCCCTCACACAAAAAGCCCGATTGAGGGGCAGGACGGGAGCATTCAGACTGAGCGGAGGGAGGACCGCGCCAGGTGTACGCCGCCCACAACTCAGAACACGCTTGAGCTTGACCTACTGCCGCCCGTTCGAGAACGCTCAGAGGAGGGGAGAGATGGGCCATCGGAGAAGGGCAGCGAGAGAGGGACGACGAGAGAGAAGACTGGGGAGAGTCGGGACGAGAGGGGTAGGTGTACACGACGAACCTTGCGCTGTTTCACCAATCTGGAGCCTATCAGAGAGGGACGACGGGGAGGCGTGGACTGGCGAGCGCTGCGTCCAGGGCAGCCAAGCTCCTCGATCGGGGCTCGGGTTATCCAGAGGGAGTGCGGAGAGGGGAGTGCCTGGAGAAGTGCTTGATCAGCGAACAGATCACTAAACCAGCCGAATGTTGACCAAATTCGCTTGAGAGCGGTACAACGAATAAGAGAGGGCAAGTTCAGAAGTGAACGGGTGAGGGAACCAGCGATGCGGTGAGCCTGTGTGTGCGGCCAGTAAAGTCATAAGTATTACTGATCTAATTATTGGTATTTTATCGTCACTGATATTATTATGAAGAATCAGCAGAATCACGAGGCTGACTGCTCTGACTTGCATAAGGGCCCCTCAAACGAACTACTATACAGCCAGGGATACTCAAACAAGTAGCGAGAGTCAAGACGCAGAAAGGAGCGAGTGAGAGAGAAAGTGAGAAAAGCGGGGAGCGAGAGTATGAGAGTGGTAAGCCCAAGGGGGAGGGGAACAAGACATCGGCAGCTCTATGTGTCGTTCATAGTTGCGGCTCCCCTGTGTGGGAAGGAGGG